GCGCGTGCCAGTGAATCGAAACGATTCGAATGCAAAATAATAATAAAACAGTCGGTAGATCGTGGTCGGGGTGGCGGCTGTGGGTGGCAGTAGGTGGGGTCGGCAGCGCATTAACGCAATTAACCTCCAATTAATAACACATCAATTGACACCCGGTCAACTTGTTGCATCGGAGCAGCCCGATAATATGCGGAACGCGTGTGAGCCTTATCTGTACACACACATAGGAGTTACTGTGCCTGTGCGCCGCGTGTGGTATTGTGTGTATATGCGTAACGCGACCTGTCCCTGCATACTGTATCTGTTCTCCGCATGTGTATGTAGTACATACTATGTACTCATGATTAGGCGTCATGAAACACGGGTGTGTTTACATATCTTCTCCTCCTCCGCGGATGCGTGCCGATGAAGGGTGATCGGTGGTCATTCCGCGGACAATAATGAAACGAATGTTACGACAATTTTATATCGAGGGGGAAAGGTGGCGCATACCTCTATGCATCGCGGGGCATAGTGCACGTATACACGAAGGACATGGGCTGATGATCATAGCCGGGTTCCCATGCAACCCCCTGCAAGCACTCCCGCCACATGACACCTACAGGGGGTGGAATTCCAGTGCACATGCCGCCGTGGCGTTGCCTCGATTACGCCATGTGGGGTACATGCACCATGTGATACTCACCATAGAGAAAACCTGCTGCCTACTTGTACGGTTCCTCGTAGCTGCCCGGAAGGAAGTCGTTAGGGCTGCGTGGTAGAAGTACTGTTTCGTTTTCGTTGCGGTTTCGACCGGTAACCACTTTGGACGCGTCGATGAAAACCGTAAAAATTTGATACTGTTGGAATATCAAGGGAAAGTAGTTCGTGTTCAGCTGGGTATCTCCGTTGAATTAATTGTAAATGAAGAAATTACTTTTGAATGACGTATCGATTTGATATTCGCGTAATTGGTCAAAACTTTTACTGCGTAACCTATAGACAGTACCGGTAGTAATTTCATCCTTTTTATATTGATTTTTATACTTTCTGATCTCGTACCATGGTAGGGGCGGCGCGCATCCACCGAAAGGATGGGATCAGAATGGTTACGGAATATAGATTTCTTTCTTTTCACTTGCAGATTCATTAAAAAATTTCGATTCGAAGTTTTCCCTTTGAAATTTCATACAACGCCGATTTACCAATGGGAACCGTATAATCGATGGTAAGAGAATAACAAACGGTTTCCTCGGCCTGAGCTTTTCTGTGTTCGGATCTTCCTTAATTACCCGGCCTATAGGTGGGGAGTTATCAGCGTCGATAGCTCGAAACAATGGCCACCTTCAACCGTAACCCCTTAATGTTGGAATTCTTTGGGAAAAGTCGACAGAATTATGAGCCAGTCTTCCATTAACTTGCACTTATAACCGACAGTTAATTTTTAAGCCTGCTCGCTCGCTTCTCGATCTTAACTTTTTTTCACTGTATTCTGTTTCTCCGAGCCATTGTTCGGTTAACTTTTCTCGGACGTAAGCCTGCCTTCTTGAGGATCGATATTTCATTTTCTATGAATTTTACGATAGCACTAAGCGGGTAATACTCGACGAATTGAGTTTAACCAGCGATTCCCTAATCTCACGTAGCTATCCCGCCGGCATAACCTGCAATCACCCCCTCGAATCAAGTCACCTGCTTAAACGATAAATATCACATGACGCACAGGAAATGGCTGTTGGTGGTTCATCAGGCTGTTTTCGCTTCGGTAAAGTGATCGATGCGCAATGTCATTGCTCGACGAAATATGTGATTACCACTGACAAGAACATCATATAAATGCATTACGTTACATTGTTATTAAGATTTCTCTGTAGTCGACAGTTACGAAAACCTTGTATACTTTGGGGATTTATTGAAATTTTATTACAAGATTGTTCATAGAGACGTAGACGTTTCGAAGAAGGATACAAAAACGTAAGATTTGTATCGTGAAAATTATTCTAAGAAAATTAATAACGTAGTGAAATATTGAAAAAAAGTTGTACGATTGAAAATTATATGGGGCATCTGTTGGACAAGTATCGGCACGCCAGAAAGCGTTTTTCAGCAAAGTTCCTCGCGTGTACTTAGCTGGACGTTGTCTACTTCCGAGTCGGGGCACCTAGTGGGAGAGTTCCGAAAACCATTTCCGGCGGAGCACCTTTTTATTCTCCCCGTCCCACGCATGACGGCGCAGAGGGGAAGTACCAATCAAAAGTAGAAAGGCCAGAAGTTTCCTGACCCCCCTCGAAGAGCAACGTTCTTCGAGGCAGGTACGATCATAGACGTTATCGAACCATAGGCCATATGTCACCATTTTCAGCCACCGAGTACACCCCCCCCCCCCCCCCCCCCCAACGGAATCTTTCAGTTCTGGAAAATGTGGATACTTATTGAAATTGAGCGGGTGTGATCGCTTGAATGACGATGGGAAATGGGAAAATGTCGAAAATCGTAAGGATCATGAATATGAATCATTTAATTTGAATAATGTCGGAA